CCTTTTTTTTTTTTTTTTTTGTCTCACTAAACTGAGCTCAAACTTGAGATCTTCCTGCCTCAGAGTCCAGAGTGCTGGGATTACAGGTGTGCTCTTAGCTGGCTCTTATCACAAATATTTATCTGTGAAACTGTCTCTCTCTTCCCACAATTCTGAGTTTCTGTCTTGCCTTTCATATTTCCCATAAAGGTGCCTTTGAAATCTTTGTTGAATAAATAAATGAGTGAGTCAGGGAAGGAACAATTCCAGAAGCAAGCAGTGGGGGAGGCCTAGGACCAAAGGTGAGGCCTGATGGCAGCAAGAAAACACTAGAAGGCGACAGAGAGTAGGAAACATGCTAGCTGCGGAAGGAAAGGAAGGAAAGGCTGGGACAAAGCAGAGTTTCCGGGGAAAGGGGGTTTGGCCCAGCCTGGATCCCCAGCACCTCCCTGGCTACCTAAAGAAGAGGTGCCCGTTGCCCAAGGAAGGACAGGGAGGAAACCAGGCCCCTGGGCCTCCCATGGCCTGAGGGTCAGCCTGAACTCCCCAGCCATCAAAACAGGAAACTCCAGTCCCGCCTCAGTTGCCAGGAGAGGGGAGGGGCAGCCTTGCAGCACAGTGTGGGCACTTATTGCCCCCTCCAAGGCTTGGCACAGGCTCTCCTGCTCTGGAGTACAGCAGGTCCTCTCTCGGTCCCTTCTCTGGCGGCCCACGGGGAGCCCCCATCCTCCCCCTCCTGGCACACAGCGCTGGCAAAGCTGCACACTGTGTTCCTGATGCCTGTCTGCCAGGCTGGATGTTGTTTCCTTCCTCCTCCCTTTCTCTCCCCTCCCTCTCAGCTCCCTTTCTCCTCATCCCTCCTGCCCCCCAGTACTCAGGGTTGAATCCAGAGCTTCACACTGAGCTACACGCCCAACACTTTTTATTTGTTTCATTTTGAGGCACGGTCTGCCTAAGTTGCCTAGGCTGGGTTCCAACTTTCAGCCCTCCTGCCTCAGCCTCCTAGAATGTTGAGATGACAGGTGTGAACCACCATGCCCAGCTTTCCTTTCTTCATCCTCAGTTTCCTGCAACGCCATCCCTAAGTGGCAAGTGGACGTGCCCAGTTGGGGTGCCCAGCTGGAGTCCCCCCTCTCCTCCCTCTCTGAGATGCTTCTGAAGCCCCCTGGTGGCCAGCTGGCCTCTTTCGGCAGAGGGTATGTTCAGTGAACAGGCCCTTTCCCTCACCCCTGCCCCCTACAGGCCACCTCCACCTAGGAGGCCCAAGACACGGGGTGCCCCAGCTCAGGGTCCCGCTCCATTGCCAGCTGCCTGCTTTCTAGTGCTCCCTTCGAATGGAAGCCCAAATCCATTTTCGGTGCGGTACTCTTATCTCCAATGGGCTCAGCACCTGCCCTCTCCACCCCATCTCCCTTCTCTTCACCTCTCTTTTTGTTGTTTTGTTTGAGACAGGGTCTCGTTACAAATTCAGGCTGTCCTCAAACTTGCGGCAATCCTCCCGCCTCAGCCTTCCAAGTGCTGGGATGACAGGCATGCACCACCATGCCTGGCTTCTTCACCTCTGGCCAACGGGAAATGGAGATCCACATGTTGGATCGAGTCTTCATGTCCTCTCATCCCCAGCTCCACTATTAAAGATGAAAAAAAATTTTTTTTTTGAGGCAGTGTCTCACTATGTAGTTGAGACTGACCTGGGACTCACTGTGTAGCCCCGGCTGGTCTCGAACTCACAGCGATCCTCCTGCCTCAGCCTCCCAAATTCTGGGATTACAGGCATGCGCCACCACACCTGGCTAAAGATGAAATTATCAGTAGTGGTGGATTCCCATAATCCCAGCAATCTGGGAAGCTGAGTTGGGAGAGTCCCAAATTCGAGCCCAGCCTGGGCAATTTAGCAACTTAGCAAGATTCTATCTTTAAAAAATTTTATAGTAGCCAACTGATTTCCTTTTTTTTTTTTTTTTTTTTTTTTTT